AAAAAAAAAAAAAAAAAAAAAAAAAAAAAAAAAAAAAAAAAAAAAGAAAGAAAAAAAGAAAAAAAACGATTACCGTATGATGAGTACCAACAGAACACAAAATTTAGTGGGAACTCATTTGAGAAAGTATCACTCATTTACAACAAAAGACATAAACAGAAATTCTCTCTGATTACTCTGTGTCCCTTTTTATTATTGGAAACATTGTACATGAATTTGTGTTTGCTTGTGTAATAGTGAGTTCCCAGGCAACAATTTGCCCTTAGACAATTTGTTGCTTATGTTCATGCAGTATCCATTCCCCCTGCCTCATAGTAATGACCCTCCAAATTTCTTTCTTTTTTTTTTTTTAAAGATGGGGTTTCACCAAGATGGCCAGGCTGGTCTTGAACTCCTGATCTCAGGTGATCCACTCACCTTGGCCTCCCAAAGTGCTAGGATTACAGGCATGAGCCACCGCGCCTGGCATGACCTCCAAATTTCTTTTTTTTTTTTTTTTTGAGACAGAGTCTCACTCTGTCACCAGGCGCCAGGCTAGAGTGCAGTGGCGCGAACTCGGCTCACACTGCAACCTCCACCTCCCGGGTTTAAGCGATTCTCCTGCCTCAGCCTCCTGAGTAGCTGGGATTATGGACCCCCACCACCACACCTGGCTAATTTTTGTATTTTTAGTAGAGACGGGGTTTCTCCATGTTGGCCGGGCTGGTCTCGAACTCCTGACCTTGTGATTCACCTGCCTCAGCCTCCCAAAGTACTGGGATTACAGGTGTGAGCCACCATGCCCAGCCCAGATCCATGTAGTTTGTATAGGAAGTCCCAAATCTAACCAGACCCGATTAGGACACTGGAGTAAACTTATAACTTAATCAAAACTTGGTAATTTTGTGTCTCCCCCCTTTTTTTGGATTAGTCACTATTTAAAGCATTTTACAAATATCAACTTCTTTAATCCTCACAGCAAACCCCTGAAGTAAGAAGGATTGTGATATAGGCGGGGAGTGGTGGCTCACGCCTGTAATCCTAACACTTTGGGAGGCCGAGGTGGGTGGATCACCTGAGGTCAGGAGTTCAAGACCAGCCTGGCCATCATGGTGAAACCCCATTTTAAAAAAAAAAAAAGAAAGAAAAGAAACTATTATGATACAAATGAAGAAACCAAGACTTGGAAAAGTTAACCTATCAAAGGCTACAAAAATATTAAGTGAGCCAGTGTGGTTCCTGAGTGCATGCTCTGGAGCATTATATTGCTTCATCCTATAAGCAATAATGCTAAAAAGAAGGGGAGGGGTCTCTATATTTTTCACTTAAATTGAACTTGGGAGAATTTAAGCTTGGAATAGATGGGAATGAGAATGAAATCATCACAGAGGAAAGCAGAAGTCAGACAGGGTGAGAGATTTTTTACAATATCAGTTAAGAAAATGATTCTTTTATTCCTTTTGTTTGTTTTTTGGTTTGCTGTTGCTATTGTTATTTGATACAGGGTCTCGCTTTGTGGTCCTGGCTGGAGTGCAGTGGTGTGATCATGACTCATTGCAGCCTTGACTTCCCAGGCTCCAGCGATTCTCCCAACTCAGCCTCCCAAAGAGCCAGGATTACAGGCATGAGCAATCACGCCTGGCTGGTTCAGCTACTCCAAAAGCCAGCTGTTCTTCTAGGCTTCTCAGTATGTAAGCCAATAAATTACTTTTCCTAAGTCAGTTTTAGTTGTTTTCTACTCCTTCAACAGAAAGAATTATAAATGATACACTTATATACCACTTGTAGAGAACAAACTAAGCCATTCATTTGCAATGCCAATCATCCTTCTTCTATTTTTTTCTTATAAATCTGTGCTAAGGAAACTGACTGTAGATAATTAACTTGGGTATTGGTAGCTACATTCTGTGTGCATTTGGATCCTTTCCTCATTGGCCACATCTGATCCAACTATACAACAGCATACCAAGTTACCTGTCAGGAGAACTGCCTTAACAGGAAAAACTTTGTTTAGCTGGAACTGAGCAGATCTTCTCAAAAGTTGAAACTAGGCCGGGCGCGGTGGCTCACGCCTGTAATCCCAGTACTTTGGGAGGCCGAGGCAGGTGGATCACGAGGTCAAGAGATCGAGACCATCCTGGTCAACATGGTGAAACCCCGTCTCTACTAAAAATACAAAAAATCA